CCTACCTCTGTGCTGACCACCCAGGCTGTGGAGAGGGATTGAGTCTCGTTCCAGATAACATAGAGCATGTTACATTAGGAGACGTTTCCTTGTGTGTGTCTCACCAGTTGAATACAGATGTGCTGAGGTAAGCTCTGGATAAGTAAGGGATCGCTGCACAAAATGGTGATGGAAATTTCTTTTATTGTTACAGAAGTACATCCTCCAGTGCTTAGTTGTGTAAGGACCACTGGGCAATGTGCATGCGCATATACACACACACACACACACACACACACAGTAAAAATAACCTGTTTATATTTAACATACGTTATAGAGAAATATGTTGAGGGGACAGAAAATTAAAAGCTTTTGTTTTCTTAATATGAAAAAATAACCCCTACATACATGTTTTATTGTTACTTAATAAATATTGACCAATTCTCTAATTAACAGATCTGCAAAAAAAGGCTTTTTCTTTCTGAAATAAATTTCATTTGTTCAAACTGGTAAAATTAGTATTCAAGTATTGTACTGACATCTAAGTAAATGGTAAATTATTGTACTGTTCATAGTATTTTTTTGTTTTTTTGTGGACTGGAGGCTAAGAGGGTTCTTTAAGAAAATCCATTGAAAATATATCAGGATTGGTTTAGACATAGTTCTCAATAGTCCAATTTATGCCTGAATTGTGTCTTATAACTCTCTTTTCCCCTAATAACTATAAACTTGTTTTTCTACATTATTTGTAACAATGTTCTTGTGGATATTTGGATTCTAAATATTGAATGGGATTTCCTGTTGCATGTAACCATCAATATCCGTATTTTGTTGAAAATTTCACATGGGAAATATTTTCAATCTAGTGCCTATAACCCAGTTATATAAGGTTCCAAATACATCTGTTTAGCAGAAATTTCTTTGTTTGTATTTTGGATTTATTTTACTTGCCTCTTCCATATTTAATAAAATATTTGTTTATGAAATTGCTGGCTGTCAGATTTTTTTGTGTTAAAATTACACAGTAGATTTTTTTCACAATGTCATGTCAAATATTAAAAAAGCTGCTTAGCACTCTATCAGTTACAAGCTGTTTAACATTTGCAGAATAATTTTTTCCAGTTAGAGACATTGGACTCGACTGTGGAAACTAATAATTAAAGTTGACTCTAATCCATTGTTGTTTATAATCTGTCTTTCATTGTAAAAATATGGATTGTCATATAGGAAGTTTATTTCTTCCAGCCTGTAGTATGGGACATTTGCCTTAAATCCATAGCCTTGAGGCAGTTCACATGAACATTTACTACGTTTCCACCAGTAACACTCCTCCATCACACTGCACCTACACAAAACATGGTGTAGCTTTGTAAAGGGTGCTTAAAAGGAATATGTCATTAGTAAACACACCTCAGGAGACTTTGACATACCTCTTCATCTCCCTTCAGGTAGGCTTCTCTCACAAACCCTAATGACTAAATTCCATAATCACAGAGCTCTCAAGCCTAATATTTTACTTGTAAGGAAAATAATTTTACATCAGAATTACATCCACTCCCCACCACCCCAAATATCTGACCTGAAGTTGAGTAAAGGACAATAACTAAATATTTTTGATAGGAGAAATGAAGTTTAAGAAACACTTTAGGGAGAAATTTTCTTGAGCAACATGATTGGCAGCAAATGATGTAAGATCAAGGTTGTCCAATAAGTAATTCTTCCTTTTGTATTTCTATTAATTGAGATCTGTTTGTCATCTAAACTTTTAATAAAGCCTTCCACACAACAGTGCTTTGGGTAAGTAATACGTGACTCCAGAAATTTATAGCAAATGTTGGCTGATTATATTTTTCATTTGAGGAGTATTGAAGGCTTATGCAAATTTCAGTGAAATATCAAATGGTTAGTGGTGTTAGCTGACACAAGTTACATAGGAACAAAGCAAAATAATTAAATTATTATAAATATTCATTCAATGGATCATTTATCTCCTGTATTTATTTTCTTACATATATTTGATAAAGTTTTCCATGGATAATAGGAGAAAAGTAAACGAAAAAACAATTTATCTTATAATATGAATACAAACGTCATCCACCTATCCCTAGTTTGACAAATTCATGATAACTTTAACTCAGAAGATAGACTCTCTAGGTTTTGCTCCCATTTATTCTTTCATAAGACTGTTTCTAAGCGAAGAGTACTTCTCATCCAATTGAATTGTACCTGTAGCAGCAACATAGCCTTGTCGGAGCAGAGCTGATCGTGCTGAGAGATGGCTTCCCAAGGGTGGGCGGGACCTCTATGTGGCGCTCAGAAAGCGAGGCTCGTGGTCAACCACGCCCCATGGCCTGTTCATTACCATCTTCTACCACGCTCTTCCTGGGCTCACACAAAAATTAATTTCATACAAGCCCACACAATATGGATTTGGTTTTTTTTTTTCAATTTAGCATTACATTCTGGTTGTATTAACTTTTCCATGTGTCTTAATTTGAGACTCAGAGGTTAAGAATTCTATCTTCCCATAACTCTTGTTCTAATTTCTTCTCTCCCTCTCCCTCCATCAGCTCAGCTGGCACTGGCTCAGAGAACAAGCTATGCTCCTAATACAAGGCAAGACAAAATAATGACCTTTATTTTTTAGAGATTTTTTTTTCCCCATAAACTTCAAAATAGTCCCCTCATAAGCTTAGCTGACACATGTTCAGTATGTAATTTCCTTAGGTTAGAGACAGGCTTAAGGGGCTCAAAATGGAAGAAGCATAAGAATTTCTTTTCTCCTTTTTACTAGGCCAAAAATCTAAGTATTTTACCCTTAATAGGGAAAACATTTCTTAGCCTATGTTTAGCGCTCTTAGAATAAGCCTGGGCTTACTTCTAGACTAAAATGAAGGGGAAGCTCTACTGAGTGTGACCTGACTCGTTAGGGAGGCCGGGCTGGAGACCTCCAATTCATGTCAAATACTTGAGTTCAAAGAAGAGCTTGTTAAATAAAAAGAGTTAAAAGAGTCTTTCTACTTAAGGTAAATAAATAAAAATAAAAGGGCCTATCTGAGGCCTTCTTAGGGTGGAAGCTGTAGGACTGACCCTAAGTTTTCATTATGGTACCTGCCTCATACAAGACAAAACCTAAAATTGCTTTTTCTATCCCCTACAAACAAGTAGAATTTCTAATTGATGATGTACGAATAAAGAACGGAAATAAAGTGGAGAGGCACCAGGGCTCTTTTTAGGAGTCTTATATTCCCCTGCCCCTTGTTCTTTCTCCTGTTACAATGCTCGGTTTCCAGTCAGGCCTGTGGTCAGAAGGATTCTGACCCTTCCTCCCTGGGGTGGGAATCAGTGTTTGCCTCACTTCATACAGCAGCTTCCCTAAGTGTTGCCTTTGCATTTATATACTCATTTATAACCAAACCTTCAAAGCATTATCAATTATTATTATTATTATTATTAGTAGTAGTAGTAGTACTAGTAGTAGTAGTAATAGTAGTATTTGATGTTGCAATAAAGAGCTTCTTGCATAAATCAGAAAGGTCATTACTTAAATTTACTAAGACTATATTGTGACTCCAGAACCCTAATATCTCAATTATTTTCCATATAAAATCAAGCTGAGCTTTGTTATTCAATCATGCCCCTAAAATCACTTATTTGGAAGACAAGGCTACATATATTCTAAGTCTCTAATTGTATTTATGGACACATTTGGAAGCCTGGATTTCAAATACTTACATTATCTCCATTCAGAAATAGTTGTCTCCCTTGGGCACCTGACACTTTTCCTTGATGTTTCTCCAATAAAGCTTTGTACAGAGGTGAAACAAAAGCAAAGCAAAGCAAAACAAAACAAAACAAAAATCTAGATAAGTATATGCTTTGCTGGTATGAGGTCCCCAGCCCCATTACCCTAAAAAGTTAGGTTAGACTCCATAGGCTATCTCCTTTATTTTAGTCTAGAAGTGAGCCCGAACTTATTCTGAGAGCACTAAAATTAGGCTAAGAAACTTTTTTATTGCTTCCTACTTAGCTGGTATAAAGGAAAGATTATGTAAGGAAAGTCATTCAACGAGAAGGTCTGAAAGATTTATTTCCTAATGCCTAAATCATAAATGCTCTACTCTGCCTATCTCAGGCCTTTCTGTAGCAGGAAATCCTAGAAGGCCATAATTTCTGACACCACTTATCATGTCATTATATGGAAGAAAATTAAAATCCCAAGGAGGGAAGAGAAAGAGGTGTCATGCATCTAGTACAAGGTCAAAAAAGGGTTGTGGTTCCAATATTGAACATTGTTTTTCTTGGGGGAGGGTTGAATGATGGGCAGGTAAAGGAAGCAGAGGGAAACCTGGAGTTTCTTCCAGATGTCAACATCTATCAGTTTTTCTCGGTCATATTTGTTCATACATCTTATGGCAAGTTGTGACAGTACCTAAAACTTCACCATGTGAAGTTAAAAAAACCTGACAAATGTTTGGGAATGAAAATGGTGGTGAAAGCAAGGAGAGCAATGGTAATTTTAATAGTGATGCCATTAGACAAACAGGCAGTATTTGCAGTAGCTGGGTACAAATATTGGAGCCAGATTAGTGTTGAATGTCATCTGGATCCTGTATTACTTGTGTTACCCTGAACAATTTACTTAATTCTCTGTACTTCATAGGATTCTTATGAAGATTAAGTGAATTGACACACAGGTAATTTAGATCAGAATCTGGCACTCTTAAAGACTCAAGGTATTAATTATTATTACTATAGTAATATTTATTATTATATAAAATAATTCTTAGCTTACATTAACCTTCACCTGTAAAGCTTTATCTAATCACACAATTGCCTTCAATATTTATCCTTCTAATAATAATGCCACTGATATTTGCTGAATGTACTCTTCACTTGTTTCATGTTATAAATTTTGCCACTCCATTTCCTAATATTTTATTTTTTCCCAGTACCTCATATTATTCTTGATGGTGATATGATGATGATGATAACAATGATCATGATGACACCATTGATGACAGCCTATGTCTACCAATTTTAAAGCCAAATGTGAAAGTCACATTTTGATGCAGTGAAACATGCGGACAATGGCTCGGCGGATCTCCTTCGTCTTGGCGCTATAAATGAGAGGGTTGAGCACAGGCGGGACAAAAAGGTAGATGTTGGACATGAGGACATGTATGTAGCGTGGGGCATGCTTCCCAAAGCGGTGCACTGTGGAGACTCCAATCATTGGCATATAAAATGCAAGTACAGCCAGGATATGTGACACACACGTGTTGAGAGCTTTGAGGCGTTCCTTATGGGAAGCGATGGCCATCACGGAGCGCAGGATGAGCACGTAGGAGAGGAAGATAAAACACAGATCCATGCCAAACGTGGATATAAGAACAAAGAGTCCATAGATGCTGTTGATAGTGATGTCAGCACAGGCCAGCTTCATCATGTCTGGATGCAGGCAGTAGGAGTGGGAAAGAACATTGGATCTGCAGATAGGCAGCCTCTTGATGAGGAAGGGGAGAGGGAAGAGGGTGACGAAGCTCCGAGCAGTCACAGCTATACCCATTCCAGCAATGACTCCTTTGGTGAGCACAGTAGCATAATGCAAGGGATCACAAATGGCCACATAGCGGGCAAAGCTCATGGCCAGCAGAATACCTGACTCCATCATGGAGAAGGAATGAATGAGAAACATCTGGATTAGGCAGGCATCAAAGGCAATGCTGCGGGCATTGAGGCAGAAGGTTCTGAGCACAGTAGGCAGTGTGGCCATGGACATGGCCACATCACTGAAGGACAGCATAGACAGGAGGTAGTACATGGGCTCATGGAGGCTGGGCTCCACTCGCACAGCCTGCAGGATCACTGTGTTGCCCCCAAGAGCCACAACATACATCACACAGAGGGGTCCTGCCAACCAGGAGTGAAAGCTCTCAAGCCCAGGGATACCAGTCAGGAGGAAGGAAGCAGGGTGAGTGACATTGAACAACCCCATGGTAGGAGGAGGCCAGGAAACTTCTCAGGGTCAGATCTTCCGACTCGGAACTTCTGAGAGCTGCACTTACTGAAGGACAAGAAACCAGGGGGTAAGAGACACTGCAGATGATGTCTACACAGTTGGAAACTCATGCATTCATGAAATCACTGTTTTGGGGACAACACAGGCAAACTTCATTTCTTTATATTTTATGATCGCCAGGTCACAGGCTCGTCTACTTTGCCCCTCTGTGTTCTGGAAGAACAAAGACATTGACAAATACTTAAAAATTAATTACATTAATTAAATACTTGTAAATTAATTACAAGGAAAATATTTAAACTCTAATTCCCACCATTTTAATGTATTCAGAAGCATCATTGAATGGAATTGTGTTAGCTACAATTCATACACAGTTATAAAAGACCACCAGGAGTTTGAATTATTAATAACTCTTGGAAATATCTAAATATACCGTTGAAAATGTTGTTTAATTCAGCTGTGTAACTGATTAATGCAAGCATTCTCCAGAGCTAGTTTGAATTGTGTGTGTTTGGTCAGACAGTGAGGGGCAGTGGGAGTGGAGGAAATTGACTGCCTCTGGACATCAGCCTTTCATTGGCAGAGTTGCTGCAAAAAGCAACAAAAATAAAAATGTTTCTGCAAAGGCACAAAGCTGTTCCTGGTGTTTGGAAAACATGAGTTCTCCCCTAAATATTCTATAACTACACTGACATTCAGCCTGTGCGGTGGTGCATTGTTCCAAATACAGACTTTCATAGTCATATATACTCTCAATATGCTCATTATTCACAAAGACACATTCATGCATCTTCTCAACTTCACACTGGATCCCGTTCATACTTTTACAAAACACTCACCCACAACTGTCTGTCTCTCACAATCTTACTCTTATTATAAAAATATATTCGACACTCTCTCTTGACCTTGATACTTTTAACATTCATTTGCCTGATCGTGCTCATACTCTGTCCACATTGACATATATGCAGCATTTGTATATGCATAACACTTAAATGTACACGTACATTTGTATGCTCGCACAACACTTCCACCTACACCTTTGTAGGCTTCTACTTGCCCACTGTTAACCCGTTGACTCATAGAGGCACTTGTTTACCATGAGGTATTGCATTTGCTCACAGTTTTTCTTATACATATTAGATGCTCAATTCCTACAGGCTAATCCACAACCATTTTTCAGTGAGAGCGATTACATTTTTTATTCTCCTAACTCTCCAATGTTTTTGAAACCCACTCTGGTTCATTTCCTCCTAATGAATGAAGACAGACAAGCTAGAAGGCTTTATCACCTGGCAGGCATGTTTCAGACTGATAAGGCCACCCTCCTTTGGAAGAGTAAATTCCAGAAACATGTACCATGGTTTTCCCTTTGTCTTTCCTCTCCAACATCTAAAAATCAAGGCCAGAGCATGAGCTCAGAGTCCTTTGGATGGGAATGCAGGAGGAAGGAAACCTGGGAGCCCTAGGTATCTGAAGGCCACAGAGATGCTGGGTGTGATGCAGGATTCCCGCGCCAGGAAACATGCCTGGAATTTCTCGGGCAGTATAGAACTCAGACCTTCCTGTGGTTCCCAGGACGTCAGTGGCCACTGGTCTGCGTGATTGATTGATTCCATCTCCTCTGGTCTTAGAGCTCAGTGTGTTCACGCTTGTCACCCCTCCAGAACTGTGATTCCTTGGCACCTGGATCTGACTGACCTTTTCATCTCAGGTCTCTCCGACCTGACTACAATTCCTATTATTCATACCAAGCCATATAGAGGTGATCAGGAAACCAGAAGAGAACTGAGCTCATGTAAATTGAAAAGAAAGATGGTGGACAAGAAAGCAGCTTCAAGAAAAGCAGGATTCTGGGCAGGGCAGGGCCAGAGCCATTCTGGATATGGGAACCTACGTTTTAGCATTTATGGGAAAAGGCTGCCTGACAGGATCACATCCTTTGCCATGCCCATTGGCCACTGACCTTGCAGGTTGTGAGGATGCATATGAAGAAAAGGATGCAGTGAGAGGAAGTCAATGCTTACTGAGCACATGCGATGTTCCAGATACTCTGTGAGGAAATTTACATCCAGTCACTCATTTAATCCTTGACAGAGGTGGAAACTGAAGCCCATGAGATGAGCTTGCCTCATGGGGCATGGAAAGCAGGTGATAAAACAATCTCAATTTAAAAAATATTTTTAAAAAGACTCTCTAATGTCTTACTTAGGTCTCTGAGGTGCCATTATTATTGGAAAATAAGTTAAAACAGAAAATAGAGGTACACATTTCTGAATGGAGATCTCTCAGAAAGACTTGAACAAAGGGAGTGCTAAAGACAGATTCCTATGGAGAAACAATGTAAAAAGTACCTAAAAAAGCTATGCTGCACTCAATTTCTTCTGCCTCTGGAACCCAGAACCTTTCCTTTAACTGAAGTCATATAGGAGCCAGCGTGGTTTAGGGAATGGGCCCTGGGCGTGGGTCAGGAAGCCTGGCTCTGGCTTGCCTTGGCTGTGCGAGCTTGGGAAATCGATTTCTCTGTATAGACGCCAATGTGCTCTTCTCTATAATTGTTTTTTAAGGATTTATTCTAATATCCTTCACAGTGATGTTCTTTTATTTTACTTTTTAATTTTTTTAGCTGAGCCATCCTGCTCGGGCCGAGACTCAAACTGCTATTGCTCAGAGCTCGCACTCTAATTTGTAATCAAGCAATTAATGCTAGGGATGCTGAATGGAGGCAAAAATAAGGTCGACATGGTGTGTGTATATATATATATATATATATATATATA